TCCAGTAGCAGTGGCAGAGTTTAACAGGCAGCAACTAATAAATGTTGGAGAGGATGTGGTGAGATAGGAACTCGTATACATTGTTATTGGGATTGTAAAATGGTATAACCACTCTGAAAGGCAGTTTGGCGTTTCCTCAGAAAGCTGAACATAGAAATTCCATATGACCCAGGTACTCCACTGCTTGAAATATACTCCAAGAAAATGAGAACCGAGGCACAGAGACTTGTACACTAGTGTTCAGAGCAGTGTTATTCAGCATCACCACCACAAGAACTTAGAAACAGCCCAGATGTCCAACCATAGTTAAATAGATTGAGAAATTATGGAACATTCACATGATGGAATACTACACAGCATGCAGGAGCGATGATTTTGTAAATCACTACCTAGCTTGGGAAGGACTGGAGAGCATTATGCTAATTGAACTAACTCAGTCCTATAAGGACAAATACTGTATAAAACCATTACTGTAGAATATGTATGAGGATCCAAGGGGGGTGAAGGATGGGAGCAGAGGGATGAGGATGGGACAGGGATATTGGGTTAATTATAAGGTTGCACAATTTGATGGGTGAAGTTAGGAGTGGGTAAAGGAAATAAGAAAGATCCAATGTGAAAAAGTATGTGAACTTTCTAAGTAAACCAGTATATAATTAAAATGTAATTTTAATTAAAAAAATAAAGAATCCTACTGTCAAATAGAGAATGTTGTTGTTGTTGAGTCTCCTGGCATGCATAGCGACCCTATACACAGTACCTCTGAACCCTGCTCTATCCTAGGCCAGTCTCACTGCCTCAGATACAACTGCTCCAATTACCCCAGTCACTGAGTCAGTCCTTCTCATCCAGAGTCTTCCTCTCCTGTAATGTCCCTCTACCCTTCCAGGCATGATGTCCTTCTCCAAGGACAGTCCCTTCTGGCAACATATACCCAAAGTATATGAGATGGAATACCTCCTAGATAGATAGATAGATAGATAGATAGATAGATAGATAGATAGATAGATGTAAGTGATGAGCCATTGAAAGAGTCAGATGAAATAATACTTTTCTCCAAAGAAAGCACCTGGAGGAATGTGTTATTTTTAACTTGATGGCCTTAAAGATCCATCAATATTTAGAATATAGAACACTTAACATTTTGAGGAATGACTTTCTGAGATGAAATAAAATAAATATGAGCAGAAGGTTTTTTGTATGGTGTTTCATCACTTAACAATGTACCCTCTCCATTTGTGGTGTAGGGGTAATCAAGTGACTTGAAAATTGGCAATAATTAGCAAAAAGGTATTTAAATATTCCTACCTTTCTGTAGAAAGTTCCCAAAATTAAAAATGGAATCTTTTCCCCCAAGTTTAACTTTTCTTCCACTAAAGACTAATAATACTCTTTCATAGTGGCAAATATTAAAGTTCTCCCACCATCTTTCAAGACTCTTGATGCACCTTTATTCTAGTCATAGTAAAGTGAAGTCAGATCTGAGGTAAACTTGACAGGATCCTCCTATGAAGGTTTTGTTGGAGCCAGTGTGTTGGACTCAGAAACAGTAGGCAAGCCTTGCTAAAGCAACAAAGAATTCCTGTGGGTGCTGTGCAGTTTTAGACAGCATGCCCTTGGACTTGAGTTTGATCGCCTTTCACTCTCTGGTTCTGCTCCAGTCTTCTTCGTACCTGTATCTCAGTGACTCTAGCCTCTGCCTCAACGGCCTGACTTCAGCCTGTGGATTTAAGAGCAAGGCAGTCCACATGAAATCTTGACCAAAGTGTTAAGAGTTAATTACCCTGTGTTCTACCTTCATCTGGATGGCAACCAAGGAATTTATGGGTATAGATGTATTGGGTTGTACTCTTTCCACCCCACCCCCCCGTTTAGTTGCTTTTAGTTGCTTTTTAAATTTTTCCTCATCACTGTTCCTCCTTCCTCCCTCATTTTATAGTTAAACAATAAAGGTGAAAAGATGAGAGAAATGGACTGTGTGTGTGTGTGTGTGTGTGTGTGTGTGTATTCGTCTCTATATAACTGTACTCTTGTATATACCTTGCAAATTTTTTTATTTTACTTTTATTATTTAGTGTTTTGTTCCTTTCTCCCTAAATTCTCATTTCTGTTAACCCAGGTGAATTAATTCATATTGATTCTACCTCTGAGTAAACTATTTCTTGGGGTTTTTTCTGTTCATGATCTTGTGCCGTAATTGTCTTTTTGTGACCGACTTATGTCCCTCAGCAGAATTTATCTATGTCATTCATGTTATGCAGTATTTTATTAATACTTGATAGTGTTTTAGTGATCTATAATACTCCATGTATGATTATGGCACAGTTGTTTAACAATCCATTCATTCATTGATGGGCACGTGGGTTGTTTCTTAAGTTCTTTGCTATTATATTTTTTAAAAAGGGGGAGGAAAAGCTGAATAAAACCAAAAATAGTCATTGTCATTGAGTGGGAACCAACTCAGTGGTTGTATAGAGGCTATAAATCACATGGGAGGTGATTGCGCATCTTTTTTCCTGGAGAGGAGTTGATGGGCTCAAACTATCTTTACACACTAGGCCACCAGAACTACCTTGGTTGTTATAAATAGTGCTGCAGAACACAGCGATATGGAGAGAGTTGTACTCTTAAAATCTGGCATTTTTTAAATGCTATATATCCAATAAATTTTTTTACAATATTAAAAGTAAAAAAAAAATGCTGCCAATCACTGTCTTGGGGTATTTTTGAAGGATTTGTGCATTTTTGTGCTTTTAAAAATAAAACATAAGAAACTTGTTTGTTTTTGGTGATTCAGAATTTTATTCCTCTACCAGCAGTTTGGAAAAAGCCTTGAAACCTTTATCAGGAACATAACCCATGTCTATCAATATTACCAGGAAGATACAGGCTTCCTTTTTTAATTTTATTAATTAATTATTATTAATTTATTTATTAAATGTTGCACATTTTCTTCCTCCAAAACTTAAGAAATTTTAATGTTCTTTTTTTCCCCTACTAACATTTGTGAGTTCAGTAGTTCACATATGTACAATTTGGTGACATTGATTGTGTTAGTAATGTTGTAACCACCCTCCATGCTGTTACCAGATCATAAATGGAAGCTCACTGCTCCTAAACACTGCTTCTCCCATTCTTTCTCCTCTCACCCTTAGTAACCACTAATGTTTTTATTCTTTTAAAACTATATTTCATATTTGAAATATGTCATATTTCAAATTTCCTATTTGAAAAGAATAGTCAAAAATTGAAGATTATGTGTAACATCTGCTCAAAAATTGCCAACAGCTTTTTAAATAATAAATAGGCCTCCAAAAAATAAAGGTTTGAAACAAAAGAAAAGAATCCAGAATTTCAAATGAGGGTGGGGCAGCAGAGAAAGAATGGAAATAATTGCTGTAAAACTACTTTTTTGATGCTTAGTGATTTCCAGTATTTAAATACCTAGAAGTTAAAGCTACTTGTGGTCACCAGGTTGCCATGCTGACTAACTTGCATCCAGTCTCATTTTCAGCCAATTCTTAAAAGATACCACTCCCACCCTCCTCCCTTTTCCTGGACACCCAGTTTTCGTCCAGCTTTTCGCCAAGCTATTATAGCATTTGGTTAAAAGTCAGATTGATGTTTAGTGGTGACTGAACAGCAACTACCAAAAGATGATGTCAAAAGGAACAAAACCAGAAGTTTCCTTGTAACCACTTACCCTTCGTTATAGATGTCAGGGTCTGAGCACCAGAGAAGAGACGCATTTCCCACCAACAGAGAGCTTTTGGGAAAGAGAGAGAAAAGAAAGACAAAATCAGATTTGATGCTGCTGAATTATGACATTAAATCTATATAGCCCTAGTACTATGTAGAAATTAAATTTTGATTTCTTTTCCCCAACAAAACCAGCTAGCCTTACTATTTTGGACTGATTTACTGATTGAATCAAGTGCCTCTTAGCATTATTAATTGTTTTAAAGATAGCTATTTAGTATAAACTTTTTTTTTAATAAACAGGACAGCTGGGAAGTGGTAGAAGGTCTCAAGGGAGAAGTGAATTACACCCAGGAGCCGCCAATTCAGACAGGATTCCTGCTGAAAAAGAGGAAATGGCCCCTAAAGGGCTGGCATAAGGTGAGAAGGTGGCCTGCTTTTATTTGCACCCCTGATACTCCACTAAGTATGAGGTTCTTAAACTCTTATATTTGAGGTTGATCTTTGAGACCAAGGGGGGAATGTTTAAGTGGAACATCCTCATGTGTTGAATTTTTTTCCTGCAGAGATTTTTCTATCTGGACAAAGGAATCTTGAAATATGCCAAGAGCCAAACAGATGTAAGTGTTACTTACCCAGCATGCTTTTGAACAGATCTGAAGGTCTAATGGTTGTCAGCTGAGGAATGAGATTGTGTTTATTTCTGATAGCTCCTTCACAGGGAACACTAGGGCTTGCTCCCTATTGGCCAAGCTCTGAATGCTGGGTGGGTTTATTCAACTCCCAAGTAGCAGCATAGCGACTTCTAATACCTCACTGTATATCCAAGGGTTTGTTCTGTTCTCTGGTGAGACGTGTCTCATAGGTAACTAGTAGAAACCAAGAATATGGCAGGTGTTACTGATGGGTTTGGTGGAGAAGACCCTGGGTGAAGGTGGAGTTCTCTTCTCATTAAGATTAGATGATGATTGAAAGACACTTATTGACCCTCCTCCTTCCTTCTTTCCCTTCCCCTTCCCTTACATTTCTCTTACCCCGCAGAGCTCTCTTCTTTCTTTTTTGCTCTCTGAGCTCCTGACCAATATTCTCTTTTTAAATGACGTTAAATGAATTTTAACACCAGAAACTAATTCTGTGAAAGGCATTTCTGTTAATCAGTTAATTCACTGCCATTGGAGTTATATTGCATATGGGGTTACATTCCATTTTCCTCACTGAGTGACTGTATAAAGTCATTGTCACGTAACTTCTCTTGACATCATCTGTAAGCTGGGGATAAGACTTCCTACTTCACAGAAGAAATAAGTACTGTGCATGCATTAACTACCACTTGGGTCACACTAAGTGCTTAATGAATGATAGTTATTATGTTTACTGTTAGTGGATATGGAAGGTGAGTGTAGAGGACTAGAGTGCCAAGGACGCACTGTTATTTCTAGCACCAAGAGTCTTAGTTGTTCTCTTGATGCTTTCTGCAGATAGAGAGAGAGAAGCTGCATGGCTGTATCGACGTGGGACTCTCAGTGATGTCTGTAAAGAAGTCATCAAAGTGCATTGATCTTGATACTGAGGAGCACATCTACCATCTGAAGGTGAGCCTGCTGCCCAGGCAGCACTGTCACATAGGGTGGGGATTGTTCTCTTTGTGCTGGGCAGGGGTTGTCAGTTACTGGACCAGATATCATACACCTGCCGTCCATGTGGACCTCATTGCCATTTTGCAGGTTGTGAGGCCCAGTCCATAGAGAGTTATGTTGTTAACCCAAAGGTTAGCACCTCTGGGGTAGTTAGAAATCCTCAGTAGCTCCACAAGAGAAAGATGAGTAATCTGCTGTGTGATTTACAGACTCAAACCCAGCAGAGGATCATCTGTGTGTTGGTCCTAACTTGACGGCAATGAGTTTAGATTTTGAGTTTGAAGATACTGACAAATACTCAATACCCCATACAAGGTACAGTAAAATGCGTATGACTGAGCCTTCAGAGCCCTGCCTCATTCCTCCAGCTAATTTTGGAGGGATTTCATTAGGATTCTCACATTCTAAATAAGTGTCAGGAATTTGTCTAAGTATAGGTATCCAAATAGTACCCCTCAACAGGGCTTCAAACTAGTTGACCATCTGTTGAAAATTTGCCATTTCATCCCAGATATACTGAATCAGAATGTACATGTTAATATGATCCCTAGGTCTTATAAGACTCACCTGTGAATCTTTAAGAATTTTGAAGCACTTCTTGCTGACACTGAAAGACTTCAGTATGAATTACACCTCAAAGAAAACCAAAATCCTCACAACTGGACAGTAAACATTTATCATAACAAAGAAATGATTGAAATTGTCAAAGATTTCACTTTACTTGTATCCACAATTAGTGCCCGTGGAAGCAACTGTCATCAAATAACTTGCGTCAGAAAATCTGCTTCAAAGAACCTCTTTAAAGGGTTAAGTACCAAAGATACCACTTTAAAGACCAAGATGTGCTTGGCTCAAATCATAGTGTTTTTCATTTGCCTCATATGCTTGTGCAAGTGTGACAAGTGAATAAGTAAGACCAAAGAATTGATGACCTTGGATTGTGGTGTTGGTGAAGAATATTTAATGTCCTGGGCTGCCAAAAGAATAGTACGTTTTGGAAGAAGTACAGTCAGGACTTTTCAGAAGTGAGGATGGTGAGACTCTGTTTCACATGTTTTGGGAATGTTATCAGGAAGAACCAGTTCCTGAAGGAAGATAACCATGTTTGGTCAGGTAGAGAGTCAGTGAAAAAGAGGAAGACTCTAATGAGATTGGTTGAGGCAGTGGCTGATAATGAGATTGGTTGAGGCAGTGGCTGAAACATGGGCTTACACACAGAAGAGATTGTGGACACAGTGTGGAATTGGGGAGAGTTTCATTTAAATATGCATAGGGCTTCTGTGTAATGTTAGATGGATCTTAGCTGAAAGGAGGGAATACCAGAGGAATGTGTTTCATTGACTATGCAGAGGCATTTGACTGTGTGGATCATAACAAACTGGCTGACTCTGAGAAGAATGGGAATCCCAGAACACTTGATCGTGCTAATGAGAAACCTGTACTTGGGCCAAGAGACAGTCATCAGAACAGAGCAAGGAAACACTGCATGGTTCAAAATTGGGAGGGGCATACACCAGGGTTGCATCCT